TATAGCTTCATTGAGTTACGCAAGCCCCTTCGCCACGACAAGGCAGTAATCCATAAAGGGGATCAAAAGCATACAAAGACAAAAAGACCCATCCAATAGTCTTTACTCGTGTTGGGTTCCAATGTCTTAGAAAAAAATTTAGGGAATTGCTTTTTATTAGGTCATATTGGTTCTTTTTGTATACTGTGCAATAGTTTTCAGATCAGACCAATTTATTTATTTTTTTAAAAAAATGTAAAATTATCATTAGCATGAGATCATTGATCAACTTTTTTTTAAACATTTGGGTGGCATTCTTTATTTGAAGGGAGCAAAGAAGTCAATGACCAATCCTTTTTAAACATTATCTAACTGGTACAGTAAACTTGAAAAAAAATTGAATTAATCTTATTTCAAGAAATGTATACTACATTCTAAAACTTTTAATTGCTAATTTTTTTAATATGTGTTCTCACTTTTTACTATCTATGTTCACCTTGGTAATATTCTTTATAATAGTATAAACTATCTAAAGCATTTCTCAACTTGCTGTATCAACAAACAACAGCTTGAATGACACTGTCATATCTGTAGACTTTTCAAATCGTGTAAGGTCAATAGATGGTACTTGGGGTTTTATCATTTTTGTTTATTAAATAAAATATATATCAAACCTTATCAGTTCAGTTAGCATATTTAAACTTACTGTCAAGTTGTGAGATTGCACAGGGAGAAACATTAGAGCAGGGGTTCTCAACCTTGGCAACTTTAAGACTTGTGGACTTCAACTCCCAGAATTCCTCAGCCAGCAAAGCTGGCTGAGGAATTCTGGGAAATGAAGTCCACAAGTCTTAAAGTTGCCAAGGTTGAGAACCCCTGCATTAGAGGATGAGCATTCATGTATGAATAGTACCTCATATTGTGGCCCAAACACATGCAATAAATGCATATAAAGGTTGAAGGATATTATTTTGGGGATCTGGACAACATTAAAAAATAGGAACTAATGTTCTAGAAGTAAATCTAATCAGAACCAAGACAAAAGGAAAAACTATTGTCTAAATAAGGTTTAATATTAAGATGCAAGTAGAGTTCATGACTAAAAAATAAAATAAAAAAAGACCCAGAACTACAGAAAACCTTGTTCCTTGACCAAGGATTAACTGGATCACAAAGCCCAGTTAATCAAATATAAGAAAATACTCATATAGCACACTGCTAAGCTTAATACAAATATAAATATATTGTCACTAATTTCATAGACAGTAGAAGTAGGTAGGTACCACTTTAATAAAATCAGTAAAAAAGTTTGCTTTGTACAACAAATGAATGTCAAAATCTGAAGAAAGCTTTGTGTCAGAAAAGTGTTTGTATGTGTGTGTGTGTGTGTGTACATACATGCATACAAACATATGTTGTACTGTGCAGGACTTCAAAATATTTTTTTTTTCATAATAACCTATGTAAAAATTTCTGAAATTTTGTAGGACTGGAATTTGTAGCTTCACAAATATTAGCAGTGTTTGTCTAAAGTATGATATAAAATATTCAAAACAAGTTTCAAGTTTTAGTTAGACCTTTTCTTTTTTTAATAAGAATTTTATATCTAATGAGGACCAATGCCCCTTGCCTAAAATATTTTAATGCAGTTTTCTGTACTTCCCAGAATATTATCATAAGCTTATGGAAATGGTTTCTTTTGAATTAAAAAAAAATGAAGATAAGTCTTCCATTAATGCTTTTCTAAGACTAGAAAAATTGTTTTAAGTTTTTAAACTAAAAACAATAAAAATAAAAACACTGACAAATTTGCTTCCTACACAATACATGATAATAATACGTGCTTTATCATTATATTTCAAAGAAAAGTCAACCAGTCTAAAGGTAAAAATACAAAATAGTTTGTCTATTTTAGCACCTTTCAAAAATATAAAAATACTGAGTAAAGAATTTTCATTGCTTCTCCCATCAATATGAAATTGCAAGGTCAAAGAATGACTTCTTAATAAGGTGGCATTTGGAAATCTCTTTCACTTAGCAATCTTCTATCGTTTAGTTCCAAAGCTGAGCTAAGTCTCCAACTTTTGGAGGAAGCAGAATCGCATTCTTGTAAATCAGGGGTTTTCAAACTTGGCCTTTTTATGATTTGTGGATCTCAACTCCCAGAATTCCTCAGCCAGCGTGCCTGAAGTCCACAAGTCATAAAAGGGCCAAGTTTGAAGATCCCTGCTGTAAATGCTGGAATGTTATCAATTCAACAAAGATATGGAAGAAAGGATAGCAGAGTGTAACATTTGTGATCTCTCATGAATGTGCTGTCATTGCTACAACAAGGATGAAAGAGGCCTGGCAACATCTCCAAAACTCAATTTGCTGTCCTTTGATAATTGACATTGTTTTGTTTTTTGTTTTTAAATATAAATGCAATATACAACAATTAACACAGAATAGTCTGTATTTGCAAGTTACTTCTTTGTATCCTGAAGTCTTGGATGGCATATGTAAAGAATGGAAAGTGTGGACACTGCATTTTGGACAATGGAAATGCGAGCATTTCCAATCACTGACATAACGAATGTGTACAAAATGATAATATCATTATAGATATTGAAGATTAGCTAAAGGGAACAACTCTCTGAAGGAGGACTAAGTGGGTTAATCTACAGCAGGTATTCCAAAACTAGTGCTCCTCAAATATATTAAACCAACTTGTATAATTCCGCACAGTCAATTCTGTAACGACATTTGCTAACCATAGTTTTTTTAATAAACCATACATATTATAACAAACCACAAGCCATGTTCTCCTGCCTTATTATTCTTATTCCAACTCTGGGAATACAGATCCTTGGGATGAGAAAACATAGTAAAACTACTATTTATTTAATTAATTTAATTTATAGCAAACTATCTCTCCTAAATGATGCGTTTCAAAAAGCAGTTTGGTTCAGAGTGAAGTCATTCAATGGTACTACCTCAATGCATGATTTCAAATCATAACGTAACCCATGTAACTCTATTGCATATTGTTTTGAGGATCAAACATACTCTGCAGTAATTTTGTATTAATTATAGCCATTTTAAACCCAATAAACATGTTTGAGTGACTAGCTTTTCCATTATCTGAACATGCTTCTTATCTGCATTCCACAATTTCTTCCTACAGAAATCTCATCTTTATAGGCAGGTGTCACTATTATCTACAAGCTAGTAGTTGGACCTGATAGTTTCCTAATTTACAATAATTATGCCTGTTATTTCAGTTTATCTCATAAATACATGATAACCTTTAATTAGAAATCAGAACTCTTATATATTTCATGAATGAAATTTGCATGGATATTGTCAAAAAAGAACAAGGTTTCAACAAGGCAGTCTGACTTAGTTTAAGCATGTAGAACACGGGTATCAAACTCGCCACATCACATGACGTGTCACGATGTATTGCGACTCTTTTTGCATTGCCGGCAATGGGGTGGGCCCAGTTTTGGTATGATGAAACTGGCCCATGAGTCTGCAGTTTGACACCCCTGATGTAGAACATCATAGTTTTGTCTACCTATCCAGTGTTCTCTTGTTTTTTCCAAAGAAGCAAAAAAAGTGTTCCTCATATGTTTAAAAATTAGAAGCCCTTAGCAAACAAAGACATTTAAATAAATCATTGGTTGAATTTTACAGTTAAATAACCTGTGGAGGAAATTATAAAGATAATCTCTATAATTGTTCTGAAGAAATGGAAAGAGGGAGGAGAGAGAGAGAGAAAGAGAAAGAGAGGGAGCGCTTAAATCTATGGGAAGCATAGCAGACCTAATTAATGCTTGCAGTGTTCCTCCAGAGAAACAGATTTTAAGTAATGTAAATGGGCTGCATAAGAAATGTTCTTGTGCATATTTTGTACTTATTCCTTGTTTCTTCCTGCACAGCTGTATGCACATTATTTTAAAGGGTAACGTGTATTTTTCCCTCCTGGAATAAAAAGCTTGTAATATAGCACTTGACACCAGAAATGAAAGTTTGATAATGCTATCTGGGATGTTATTAGTTGTGGCCTTGAAAGTTGAATGAGTTAATTATAGATGGTCAGTGTCTATGTCTGTGTGTGTTTGCTCATGGGCATATTACATATCTTTTTTTCCCCTTGAGATAGTTGACCATTTTATATTTCTTGAAGCATGCAAGGATACTTGGCTTGTTTTGGAATAATAAAACTCTGTGTAGTAATACAATTCACACTAGGAAGCTACCATAGGGTGGGTAAGAGAGTCCTATGTGCTGATTTAGTAGCAGGTTTTTTTTTGGGGGGGGGGGGGTTCAATAAAGAGTTTTTCCAACTCTATCTGGATATACTGGGAATTGAACCCAGGACTTTCCATGCTAAGATATGTTTTGTAACTAAAAACTCAGGAGCTGTATAATACATTCTACATCTATATTACATCTTAAATACAAGGATTGCATCTAAGAGTATAGGTATTAGATAATAGAAACTAATACTACTATTCCCAACTCAAGTATTGAGCTAATCAGAAATAATATATATATTTTTATTATATAATGACTTCTGTTATGTGATAGCTTTGCAGTCATTCTGCTCAAGAACAGTAATTTTATCTTCTGGTTCTAAAACCTGTATAAAACCCTCATTAACATTACCGGATCCTACTAATAATTCTGTGCATTGAAATCAATTTCACTGTACTATACATCAGTGATTAAAAAATATAGAATACTTGAACTTAACAGAAATGGCAGAACGTAAACTATGAAATGTTGATGACTGGTACACTAACCAAGTAACGAAAAGGGGAGAGGGAGAGAGAGAATGCAGAATGCTTTGTTCATTCCTTTCAATCTATTTATTACTTGTGTAATAGATTAGCAGGTGAAAAAATCCAGGATCAGTGGATAAAGTCATACATTCTGAGCAGCTATTGTCTATGATCATTAGATACCAAATCTTCTGATCATAATGTCTGTAAGAACACATTTACATAATAACTTTGGATGTCTATCTACTTTAGATTTGCAGTGCAGTTCAGAATCAGGACTACACTGTAATTGATGATTACTGCACAGGGCTGAAGGCTCTGCTTTATCTGGAAAGCCTTGAGGAACTTCAAGACTGGGAAGGACAGAGCCCACCAACCCCACAGCATCAGAAAGGAAAACCAGTTCTCCAAATTCCTGAATTGGTTGGAAAGGTAGGATAATGGTTGCCTTTGCTTTCTTGCTTTGTTTCTTAAAATTTAGCTGCAAAATGTTTTATGCTATATTAAATCATGGTATAGACATTTCTTTTGTCTTTCCGGGGATAGAAAATGCAATGGTCAGAATTTTAGCTATGTACATTCTTTATCTCCTCCATTGTCAACTTAGACTCAACAAAAATGGCCGTAGTAGCAAAAAAGGCTGCTGCGGAGGGGTGTGTTATAAACATCTCTTGTGCTGGTATCTGAGAAAAGTGATTGCCTAATTCCATTGAGCCTTACTGATTACTGAAAAATAAATTTGTTTATTATTGTGATATTGTGGAGTTGGCTAGTATTTTGTACAGACTTACTAAGTAATTGTGAATTATTCATTTGTGTAATTATTCAGATCTTTAGAATGGGGCAGGGGATACTGTTTGTGTATGAAATGATTGCCACTCTGCAGAAACAATCCATTGTGTTGAATATGGTGCCTATGGTTTATGGGGAGAGATCCTACAGCAGCCTAATCTTGACAGTGTCTATGGAGATTCTCAGTCATCCAGGGCATGGTTGTCTGGTCCCAAAGATGTTTTTTTTCAAAAGGCAGCTGGACTTCTTTGTTTTTCCTTGAAGACATTTTGCTTCTCATTTTGCTTCCAAGAAGATTCTTCAATTCTGATCTGTTGCTTAGGCAAAAGGAGCTGAAGGATTTTCAGCCCAGAACAATGAGCTCATATTCAGAAATAGCTCAGGCAGATGCCTCCCTAATTCACTAAACTATATGAAGGAGAGATACAATACAATTGCAAAATTCTGTTATTATAGCCAATCTCAATAAAAGTAGATTTTGCCTTCCTATGGATTTCCTGGTCTGTTCTACTGGTGGGGCTGTAAGAGAGATCTAAGGCAGGGGTGCCAAATTGCTGGCCTGCAGGCCAGATGCATCACCAGGAAACTGCACCACTCCATTGCTGGCAATGGGAAAAAAGCTCCGATATGTCGCACAACGTCATGTGACATCGTGAGTTTGACATGTCTGGTCTAAGGTTTTTTTAAAAAATGACTTTCTTGACTTGCAGGTAAAGCATTGTAAGTCAGTTTCCAATTGAAAAAGAAAACTGAAAGAATAAGTCAAGATGAATTCAACTCAACAAGATCTATTTTGGAATCACTTGACAGTAGGGTATTCAAAAACTTTCAAAATTACTAATGGGGGTGAGGATAACAGTTCCTCCCTAGTGATGAGTGACCTTGGGTCTTGCCCCTACGCTACAATTTCAAAGTCACCACCCTATGTATTGAAAAATCCCTGGCTCTTTCTCTTAAGTTGCAAGATCCTCTCATAGTACCAGTCTGAGATAAATTTGTGGTGTTTTCTCTTTCGGTCACTGTGCCTTATAGGCGAGGTACTATACGTTCACATGTTTAGCTCAGCTTCAAGTTGTATTAGTAAATTCCAGAACCTGGATAATGATAACATGAGGATACTATCTTTATTTTAGAAGAGAAAGGAGGAATAAGCATTAATTTATTCATTTCTCATCCAAGACTTTCAGCAGTTAACATCAATTAAAACATGCATGGTAAAAGTGATTGAAAACTTAGTAATAATAAACCAATTAAAAATATATAGCCAATTTCAGTCAAGTTAGCCCCATAATCAGCTGGCATGTTCAATCTAAGTGGTATCCAAAGTTTGTTCCCCTTACCTTCCTGAACTGGGCAACTGCCAGAAGTTTTGTTGGCTAGATAAATTCTAATTGGATTTGGTTGTTCTGGAAATAGCTACATATAAAGCCATTGAAGGCTTCATAGAGCAAAACCAGAAATCAAAAATGCAGAGATACAAAAGTTGAGGCATTGTGGCTCAAAAGCTCTGAGTGCCATGTCTGAAAACTGTCAGTATAAAAGTAGTTGTGATTTTTGGTGTGATAAAAGGGAGAATTCTTAATGCATTATTGTATTTATCATATCTCATTTTAATTAAGTGTAAGTCAAAGTCAGATGAGGTCCTTAGCCCAGAAAAATTTTAACACCTTTGGAGAAAGATAATTCTTGTATATAGTGTGTGTGTGTGTGTGTGTGTGTGTGTGTGTGTGTGTGTAACACCTTTGGAGAAAGATAATTCTTGTATATATAGTGTGTGTGTGTGTATGTATATATATATATATATATATATATATATATATATATATATATATATATATATATATATATTGAAATTATCAAAGTATAAAATGCAAGTGAAAATAAAAATAGTAGGGAGGTTGGGGAGGGAAAGAATGGGAAGAGAGAGGTGTGTGGAGTAAAGGGGAAAAAGTATTAACTTCTAGCTCTTTTCAGTACAGTAGAATAAAAATAATAAAATTACAGCCTCAGTTCTTTACTTTTGCATATTTACTATATGCAAAAGTAAAGCCATTTCTATAACAGTAAATGTATCTAATCAGCAAATCCCAAAGTCAGAATTTCATTTTTCTTTCTGTCTTGACCCAAGCTCTAGAAATGGTTTCCAAGTTGAATGTATTCTTTTCTTTGATAGAACAGTTTGGCCATTTTTGCTAGCTCCATCAGTTCTTCCAGCCATTCTTCCATTGTGTCTTCTTCCATGTGGGAACTGTTGTATCTTTCCATAATTCTTGAAGAGCAACTTCCAATTCACAAGAAGTAACATATTGTTGTTTCTCCCTTATTAATCATGGAAGGGAGTGAAAAACTACCTAAAGTTTATTGTGCTTTTCATAAATGACATTCAAAATTTCAGGGTTTTCCATAATGAATCAATCAGTGATAAAGATAACAATCAGATAAAAATTTAACATTAACAATTTCAGAAAGTCCTACGTAAACGTGTAAGAGGAGGAGATACAACACATTCTTTTATTCAGTTCAGTAGAGAGCGTTGTCAGAAAACTTTCAAGTGAAGATAGATTCTTAATCTTTTCTTTTTTCCCCTGCAGCCCCAAATCAATCAACCCAAGGTGCTCAGGAGATGGACTACTGCTCTTTTTCGAAAAGATATTTAAACAAGAAAATAACTTGACAGTTGTCAATCCTGTCAGGCTAATCTATTAGTGTGTGGTGGCATGCAAAACATTATGAATTCAAAATGCCGCTTCCAGATCAAAACAGCAGCTTTTCACTGGAAGTACTTTCACACTGCTGTAACCATATGAGAAGTATTTCATATTCAAACTTCAGCTTCCTCTAGACATTGTCTAGTATTTCACAAGTCCAAGTACCAGGAATGGATTTGACAAGAACATAATAGCATTCAACTTATATAGAAAAACACTTAACCAAATTAAGGATCAGGTTCATTTGTTTGAACTATTTAAACCCATTTAACAGAACAGGATTGAAGACTATATTTGCCTTTCCTATTGCAAATTAGGATAATCAGCATAATTCAGTTCATGTACAATTGATTGGGTTGACACAACACAGTAAACTTCTCCTTCTATCCAAATCTTGGTTTACAGATACAGTGGTAGAATTTATACAACATGCTAAGCCAAAACCAAACATTTATTACCTATCGGAATCCATGAATATGGTCATTGAAAGAAGAAAAATAACCCACATATTTTAAAATGATTTATTATTTTTGAGATTTCAAAGTCTCTCTGGGGATTTCCATGCTGTTCATTAAATTCCATCTTGTCTTACCACATCCGTTTCAAGTGGAAGAAAGTTATCTTCTGCAGCTAGTGCTTCTGGCCTTTATGATGCTTCCAGACGTATTTTGAAGTGAAATGGCTCTATGGCTTCAGCCTAGAAACATCGTTTTTGCATAAGCTTTTATTTTCACCAGCATATCCGAGAGAAGTACTAACTTGGCTCTTGCTCAACTGCTTTAATTTCTATTTGCAGAGATTTGTATTTTATTCTTTTTCTTTTTACCCATTCAAGAATATGGTGCAGAGTGAAGTGGTTAATAGTACAAAGTCTATCACTTCATTCTTCTAGGTTGTATTGATTGCCCGAAACCAGGATTTTCAGCGCTGAATTGGAGAACTGAGCCTATTAACCAAACTTGACACCTAAGCTTAGCACAGTTATGAGGAAATTTCAAGTCATTTTAAAAAAAAAAACAAAAAAACCCGTGCTAGAGTGGAAGAGCAGAGGTCAACCTTTCATTTAGACCTTCATAGATCATTTCTAGGTAAGACATGGATATAATCTTGTTTCTTATAAGAATCCTTAAATGTATTAATGTCTTTGAAAAGATCGCATCAGCAACACAGAAGAAGAGTGCTGGATAACCTTATGATTTAGACACTGAATCTTATCTTCCCTTTTCTGTTCAGTAACCAATGAAGCCGAGAACCTAGAAAGTAATTCTCCATAGCCACGTGTAAGAATTCTCTTCACGTAGCTGCCATCCTTAAACATTCCCAATTTGCAAGAGTCCTAAGGGACTCTTGCCAGCTGGAATAAGTTACAGCAGGCTCAGGGTGACTTTTGCTTTCACTGAGGAGAGCCATGGACAGAGCCCAGTTTTAATTTGCTCCCCAGCGGCTTTTGCCTCCTCCTCTGCTGAGAGTAGATTTTAAGCAGAAAACCTGTGCTTTTGTTTCTGGCTTCTGGAAGAGATTCCACTTTGAACAGTGCTTTCAGATATACATCATGCCTATTGATTATCCTTCAAAAAATCTAATATAACATGGCTGAAAATGTTGTATAAAGCCAAGATTTACAAAAGAATGGGATTTGGCATGTCAGATACCTCCAAATCTCTGCTTATCATTGCTGAAGACTGAAGTTCTTTTCAGAGAAAGGCTAGAAAAGGTTCTTTGTTCTTTGTGAAGCTCTGAAAATTATAACATTACCTTTCGGTTGTAAAGACAATCCTATCACTACACTCTGGAGAATACAATATTCCTGACTTTTTAAATTTAATTAAGCAGTTTTTCTTTCAACAAATAATATTATGTAGCTAAACCTAGATTAGTGCCAAACTCCTTTGGCCCTTGCTCCACCCCATTAACTTTCCTTCATAGAAATTT